GGACAGTAAGGTCCTGGCGGAACCGCTCGCGGAGCTGGAGACGGACAGCGCGGATCCAAGGGACCTAAGACATCAGGGACCTCCCCCTTGCTGCGCAAGGGGAAGACCATGGTGTAACGCAAGTAGTCGTCAACAACCAGCAGAAAGTAGCGCTCGCGGCCCTGTCCACTGACGCGGGCTGGGCCCCACACGTCAATGTGGAGAGTCTGCAGGGGAGCAGTCGTCGGGGGAAACGAGGAGGAGTGAGGAGCAGCGCGCTGCTGCCCCTCGACGCAAGGAAGGCAGGGCCGGGCAGGCGAGGGCGGGAGGGGAGGCAGAGACCTGGGAAGACCAGAGACAAGGAGGCGGGAGTGCATGCCACGGAGGCGTGGCAGGGAGGGGTGACCAAGGCGGTGGTGCCAAAGGAGAGTCTGGTGCGAGAGGAGGCGACACGTACAGGGGGGTACTACCTGACCTGAGGAGACGCAGTAGTCAGTGTGTACAGACTCGACCCAGGCCGACAAGTGAATGTGGCCAGGTGATGGCCCGTCCATGTACATGTGCAGATCGTCACACGCTGACCCCCAGGAGTGGTGGTAGTGACCATCGCATCCTGGAGGGCTGCGGTACTCACCAAGTTCGTAGAGAACGAGGGGAGGTGAAGACCCGACAGTGAGCCAGACGGAACTGCCGGACACGGGAGAACAGTGGAGGAACGCGCAAAAACCGGTCCCCCTGAGGGGTCAGCCAGAGAGACTGCAACCGGTGCAGGGAGTGGTGTGACTGTGGTACTGTCGCGAAAGAAACAGCGGGAAGCACCTGAGTCAAGAGGGAAGGTGTGAAAGGCCTCAGCAGGCGCAGTACCAGAGAGAGCAGACTCACTAGCACCTAGAGCATCAGCCTCTATACCAGGGTCGGGCGGCACACATAGGTAACAGTCACCCTCAGCACTAACAGTCAGAGCATACATGCCAGCAAGGATAGCGTCATAGTCAAGAGCAAATACATCCACATCCTTCCTAAGTAGCTCTAGCCAGCGGGGGAGCTCTGCCTCGTCGCCAAACTCTGCGCGCCAGGCGTTGTCAAGGCGGGAGAAGTAGCGGGACTGTGTGTGACCAACCTTCCCGCAAGTCTGACCAGCGCGATCACCTATGCGAATGACGTACGTGCAGCGAACACTCCCCCCAGACGCCCCACGCTGAGCAAACCACTCACGAAGCTGCTGACGCGTAGGTTGTCTCGCACAGACGCTGCTTCTGCTGCCTATGGCCACCGCCAGAACCTCCCCTCTGACCGGTTCCACCCCAACCGCCACCACCGCCGCCGCCACCACTCCCATTGCCGCCACCACCGCCACCACCACTCCCACTGCTACCACCAGCGCCACCACCGACGCCCCCACTCCCACCACCACTCCCACCGCCACCGCCGCCACCTCCACCGCCTCCACCACCGCCTCCACTACTGCCACCCCCACCACCCTTGCATCCCTTGCCCTTGCCGCTGCGGCGTCTCCCACCAGGAGCAGACGCAGCCCCGACCTCCTCAGCACGAAGGAAGTCAACAGCAGCAGCAGAAGCGACAAAGGGGACAAGGGGGGAGGGGGAACACCCCTCAAAGAAAGGAGGGCGAGGAGTGCCACGAGAAGCGCCTACAGCGACTATGTTGGTCTTAGCTGCAAGGAGGTGCTTCTCGAGCAGGTCGACAGTGAGGTCTGTGGGGTCAAGGGCGAGAAGGAGGTCCCTGACTGCGCGAAGAGAGTCAGGGAGGCGGGTGACGATGAAGTAGAGAGTGATGTACATGGGTGGGGGGTTCTTGTCTAGAAACTTGGTTGGAAGAGCGGCGCGGTAGCGAGTGTCGCTAGTGCGAAGGTGGGTGATGAGGTCATCGACTGTGGCAAAGGCTGACAGCTCGGGAAAAAGGTACGGTAGCATAAGACGGCCGAGAGCAGCAGTGGCAGGGGAGGAGTAACGAGTGACTACAGCGTTTTACTGTGCTTTGGCAGTCTTGTGCGGGCCAAAATGCGCGCGTTCGGCTAACGGCAGGTGGTTGCGAATGGCTAGGCGAGCAGTAGCGTCACGGGTAAGCCACTGTGAGCGAGTCGCACTGTCAGCTGTCTCAGGAGGAGCGAGAGAGTTACTAGACGTGTTGTCAAACAAGGAGACGCCGTCCCTAGACTCGCTCTTTAGGTACAGCTGTAAGTCGTCTAGCCAGGTCTCAAACTGGATCGGGCGGCCCTCAGGATCGAAGGTGAGAACACTGAGAGAAGCCATAGCGGGCAGAGCAGGTTGGCGTGCGACCAGCAGGGCAGCACGCAGGCAAGGACGGCGCGACAGGCAGGGCGGCGCGCGAGCACTAGGGAAGCGCGCAGGGCAGGGCGGGGCGGCGCACGGCTAGGGAAAGAGCGGCGCGCGGCCAGGGCAGGGCGGCGCAACTGGTATGGCAGGGCGGCGGCCAGCAGGGCGGCTCGCGGGCAGGGCAGGGCGGTGCGGCGGCCAGCAGGGCGGCGCACGGGCAGGGCAGGGCGTCGCGGCGGCTAGCAGGGCGGCGCGCGGGCAGAGCAGGACGACGCGGCGGCCAGCAAGGCGGCGCACGGGCAGGGCAGGGCGTCGCGGCGGCCAGCAGTGCGGCGCGCGGGCAGGGCAGGACGGCGCGGCGGCCAGCAGGGCGGCGCGCGGGCAGGGCAGGGCGGCGCAGCGGCCAGCAGGGCGGCGCGACGGGTAGGGCAGGGCGGCGCCCAGCTAGCAGGGCAGCGTGAGGGGCAGGGGAGGACGGCGCGCTACCAACAGGGCGGCGCGACGGGCAGGGCAGGGCAGCGCGCGGCCAGCAGGGCGGCGCGACGGGCAGGGCAGGGCGGCGCGCGGCTGGCAGGGTGGGGCGACGGGCAGGGCAGGGCAGCGCGCGGCCAGCAGGGCGGTGCGACGAAGCCGAAGTGAAAGAAGGACCTGCTGCAACATGTGTGACTGAGTCGGAGTGATAGTGCACGCTGCTTTAATCCAGGTTATCTGCTAGCCAAGATAACTTCGGAGTTCACCCGGATCAGTGCAGGTGTGTCTCTTCTGCAGCTCTGCCTTCACGAAGGCCAGTGCTTCACTATCAGCAGTTGCAAAGACCAGGTCGTCTACGTACACGAGGATGTAGAACGGCGATAATGCAGGGTCCGTGCGCAGAATCAGGGACGGTCAGCAGTCGAAGGAGCAAAGAAAAGAGCTGCAAGTGTCGTCTTCAGTGTGTCGTGCCCCTCGCGAGGCGCCTGACGGAGACCGTAGACTGGCCGCCGGAGGCTCCACAGTGTACCCTCAGAAAACGACCCAGTGAATCCAGGTGGGCGGCGCAGCCAGATCTAGTTGTCCAGGCTGCCCTGCAAGAAGGCCTTCGAGAAGTCGAGTAAGTGCAGCTCGTAGTCACGCTGTGCTACAACGTGCAGTAACACCCGAAGAGTCGTCATCTTTGGGGTGGGGGAGAAGGACTGGTCTCAGACAGTACGAAGTGTGTCAGGGAGGTGAGTCACGAGGAAATACAGGGTGAGGTACATGGGGGGTTGATTCTCAACCATAAACTCTGGCAGAAGAGAGACACAGTAGCGAGATGGGTCATGAGATCGGCTACAGTTGCGAAGTCTGACAACTCAGGGAAGAGGAACGGCAGCGCAAGACGACCTAGGGTGGCAGAAGAGGGGGAGCAGTAGCACTTAACAACAACCGCATAGAAGGCACAGGCCGACTTCACCTAGCGAAACTGGGCCCTCTGGTTGGGTGAGAGGTGAGTGCGGACTGCAAGTGTGGCCGCAACGTTGCGCGCCGTCCACTGCGTGCAAGAAACGCGGTCAGCTCGGTATTGCTTCTGCACAGCCTCTGTAGCGGTGGCAGCAGGCTCAACTGGGGGCATGGGGGCCTTGAGGGACCCCGACGTGTGCTCAAACATTGAGACATCATCCTTGGTGACACTCTGCAGGTACAGGTGCAAGTCCTCTAGCCAAGACTCGAACTTGATAGGGCGCCCCTCTTCATCAAACGCTAGGACAGTAAGAATGGCCATAACAGAAACCTAGGTCAGGCGACAGCACTGGGGATTAGCCGCAGTTCTAGGCACGGGTGGCTACTCGGGGTGCAGTGGAAGAGAGGGCGGCACGGCAATAGGTGACACTGACAGGAACGGGCAGCGCCGCTGCAGGGTGGCTCGGCGGCAGCGCGGCGCGGCTCGGCTGCAGGCAGGGCGGCGCGGCGGCGCGGTTCGGTAGCGCGGGCGGCAGCGCGGTAGTGCAGGCAGCAGCGCGGCAGCGCAAAGCATGCGGCAGGGAAGCGCAGGCGGAAGCGCGAGGCAGTCCGCGGGGCATACCATGACGGGGCAGCGCTCAGCAGGCGCGCAGTAAGGGCAGTAGGGCAGTTTCGAAGTGCGCGCGCAGAGGCAGCAGCGCAGTCGGAACAAAACCCACTCGGATACCATGTTAGAATGTGAGACAGCTAAATGATGAGACTGGGCAGCATGGGTGGTGATACGGTACTAGTATGAACCCTAAAAGGGTTGTAGCCCATACAGGATACCTCACTACAGCCTACAACACACATATGCAATTTGACACTAGGTTGACCCTAAACCTTAAACCCGAAACCCTATGTAGAGAGTACAGGTTCAGTGTCCCAATTAATAATGAGATTTCTTATATGATAATAAGCACTTTGATCAATGCCATGCTTAACAATCAGCACAACAGGCCTTAATGAACCAATATAAAGAACAAACTACATGGACCAGACAATAAACAATATCATATCAACATGCAGTACAATAAACAATAAACCATATAAATTCAGCTACCTATGGTGAATGCTATGCCTAAGGTGTACACCCCCTCACAGTTAGCTTTCTTCCATGTTCTGCAGTCTATTACGCTAACTGTGCCCCTCGTGCAATGTGCACTCCACCGGAGCACAAATGTCCTCTCTGGACTGGACTGAATCCGCCACCATTTCTGCTGCCGCTCCAACTTGAGTTGGCGCCTGCCCTCGCACACGGCCCCCTCAGTACGGCACATAGCCATCGAGGGTTTTGTCATTGGCCCCGCCCTGCACGTAGTAGCTGCGGTACCAGCGCACAAACTTCTCCAGCCCACTGTCCAGGTCCGTTGCTGGCTCGTACCTGCGTTACCAGGGGGATATGAGGGCACAGGGAGCAAGCAACAGCTGAGAGGGGTCCAACACAAGGGAGCTGGGGAAGTCAACGAGGAGCCGGAAAGAGGAATTATTGAGGAAGGTGAGTGCAGTGGGTGCACACGTGAGAGCAGAGGGCGAGGGACGTGGTGGTTGTACAAGTGTGACGCACCCTAGTTCACGATGTGCTCTGGTGATGTTGGCATGTGTGAAGAGGACGTCACCGGTGCTGGGCATTTGAATGTAACTGCACCACACGAGAGCAAGGGAACGGGCAAGACAGGCACACAAGGTGGGGGGAGGGAGGGAGTGGGGGGCGAGCAACTGTGTATTGTGGAGCACATGCATGGGCATGCACAGAGGGCCTGAATGCAGCAATGCGGACAGCAGAGGGAGTATACATGGCATGCAGGCTCCAAGAGTGCGGGCTTGGCCTTGCAGCGAGGGGAGCAAAGGCGACTCACTTGCGCACGGCCTTGATGCCCAGGTGCTTCTCCAGCAGCCCCACGAAGTCGCCCACTCGCACCGGCTGTGTGTTGCCCAGGTTGTACACGCGGAAGGGCGCCTTGCGCTTCTTGCGCCCGCCACTGCCCGTGCTGGGCCCCGCCGTGTCCAGCGCAGCCACGCAGCCGCGCACCACATCGTCAATGTACGTAAAGTCTCGCGCCAGCTCCTCCTGCTTCGGCCCCTGGAATATCTTTATCGGCTGCACCGTTGGGTCGGGTGGGTGCAGGGAGAGCACAGCAACGGGAGCCCAATGCAGCAGAGAGGACATGAGTGCAACTGGGATGGCGTGAGTGGGGCATGTCAAGGAATGAACCCCACGTGAGTGTGTGAGCGTGTGTGGAGTGGGCAGCAGCAAGGCCCACCTTGCCGTCAACAATGTTGCGTGTGAAGGAGAAGTAGGCCATGTCTGGTCGCCCCCACGGCCCGTACACTGTGAAGAACCTGCCAGGCACATGCCACACCACCACCGCAGAGGCAACTGTCAATGCTGCTGGCAGAACTGCGGGAGCAAGTTGAGGGATCGTTGTGCCAGGCAGGCATGTGATGGCAGAGGCGCGGAGGAGTGGAGGGGCGAGGGGCACCTGAGGGCGGTGACGGAGAGGCCATAGATGTGGTTGTACGTGTGCCCCAGCACCTCGTCCGCCTTCTGCCACCGGGCACACGGGCACGAGCGCAGCGCAAGGGGCATGTGAGCCGTGGGGGGTGGGGTAGGGGGCAGGTACGTATCCAAGAAGCAAAGGTACGGCGGAGAGCAGCAGGCAATAGGGAAGCAAGAGAGAGGGGCGGAGGGGGAGCAGTGACCTTAGTAGCGGCATAGAGACTGGCAGGCTTGTCCGTGCGATCGTCCTCTGAGAATGGCACCTGGCGACCAGGGGGCACGGCGGAGGAGGTCACATTGTAAGGAAATGGCGAGGGGGAGCGGGGGAAGAGTGGATGGGGCCATGGATTGGCAGTGGAAGGTGAAGAGCGAGCGAGTGTGGTGGAGGAAGGAGAGCGTACCTTAGTGTTGAGGCCGTATACTGATGACGACGACGCGTACACAATGGCGGGCTGCGGGTCTGCCGCCTGCATGCACAGCGGGGGAAGGAGAAGCCTTAACGGAGGTAGTGGGAGCAAAGGAGGAAGACGCGAATGGACGGACACACGGAGGTGCGTGTGCGCGTGCATGTGCGTGTGCACGCGCGAATCCGCATTTTCAAACCTTGCCATCTGCCATTCCATCCATCTTTCCGCAACGCCCCCCTCGCCCGCGTCCCAGCCCAACCCATCCCGCCCTCGAGCGTGCGCGCGCGTACCTTGCAGAGTTCGAGCAGCTGCACGAAGCCGTGCACGTTGGAGTGCACGTACGCCATGGGGTTCTGCACCGCGTACCGCACGCCCGCCTGCGCCGCCAGATGCAGCACGTGCGTGAAGCGCACCACGCGGAACAGCTCCGCCAACAGCTCCGCGCTCGTGATGTCGCCCTCCACCACCATGCTGCGCGCCCCGCCCGCACGCCGGGGGGAGGGCAGCATGGGAGGGAGGGCGGGGGATGGAGGGGAGGGCGCAGATAAGGGGTAGAGCGAGTGAGGCGCGGGAGGACGAAGAAAGACGGGGCGGAGGGATGTACGTGAGGGAAAGGGGGGTGGGTGGGGGGAGGAGGAGATGGGGAGCGGAGAGGGCGAGCATATGGGCGAGAGGCGACGGTCCAAGGCGAGCGGGCATGGGCGAACGCGCAGAGCGAGGCGTACTCACACGCCTTTCTCCTGCAGGCGTGTCTGGCGCGCGCGCTTGAGCGCGACGGGGTAGTAGCTGTTGAAGCTGTCCACTCCCACCACGCCGTCGCCGCGCCGTCGCAGCGCCAACGACACGTGCGACCCCACGAAGCCCGCCGCGCCCGTCACCAGCACCACCAACCCCGATGGCTGCCGACAAGGAAGGGGGAGAGGGTACGGGAGGAGGCAGAGGGGAAGAGGAAGGGAGGGGGAAATGGGGAGAAAGAGGGGGTGGGGGCGGAGGGGGAGTGGGGATGGGGGGTGGGGTGGGAAAGAGAGAAGGAGGGAAGGGCGATGGGGAAGGAGGGAATTGGGGATGAGATCGCTAGCTTTGGTGGATGCAGCGACGCGTCGCATGTGAGGCATGGTCGTGTCGGCGTACCACGCACGCGCGTACCCTTTAACCACCCGGCTGTCGTTATCAACGGGCGTGACGCTCTCACCCGGACACGAGCACGGCTCTTCCCCCTCTCTCCCCCGCCGCCATCCTCCCAACGCGGGTGGCGCGCAACAGCAGCAGCAGCGGAGAATCGGAGATGGCTAGCCTGGCAAGTCTACGGTGCTACGGCGAACAGCACCTTCCACGAATGACGCAAGGGATTGGCGCGAGTGGGGCGCGGAGCCGAAGCCCTCACCTCATGTGGCGTGGCGGAGCGCACGACCTCCGCCTCCCACAAGTCTCCGCCCCACGTCGCTGAGAGCTGCGCCCCGGCGTCGCGCGCTAAAAGCGGCGAGGTGGAGCGGTAGAGCACACTCACGATACTGCGAGGGGGAGCGCGGGGGGTGCGCGAAGCAGGCGCGGAGAGGGCGGATGAGCGAGGCACTTGATACGTGGGGTAAAAAGCGGATCGCAGCGCAGGCGGAAGGCAAAAGACCGCAGGAGGGGTAGCGGAACGGACGCCATGGGCAACTTGCGCAGCAAAATAGCGGCTAATGCGGGGAGGGGTGCACGGCGACAAGTGCAAGGGGACCGAAAGGCGGGTTCCGCGGAGGCGCACGTGACGAGGAAGACGAGCGCGAGGCACGCGAGCTGCGTGGCGCTGAGACTGCGCGCCGAGCGCAGAATGAACGAGTTGGAGCGCAGCTTTTCGTTCGCTTCGCTCTTCGCCACCTCCACCGGCTTGGCCGCGCCCGACGGCGACAGCAGCTTCGCTGGGGGCGACATGTTCGGAGGCATTGGGGAATCCTCCCGTGCCGCGCCGCTCGACTCCCTCACTCCCGCGCCGCTGTGCGCAGATTTGCGGTGGAGCTTTGTCTGCCTACCTCTAGCTCACTCGCCCTCGTTCCGCTACCGAGACTGTAGCACGGAAATTAAGTCGGTCGGCTCACAACGAGACGCTTCTGGCGGTGTGATATGGCGTGGCCACTAATTACGGTTGATTCCTGCACTCCACAAGGGAGTATTCGCGCACACGGGCAAGGGCTACTGACGCCAGCAAAAAATCCCCCGAGGCGTGCACGTGGTGACGGAAACAGGCTGGGCGTCAAGCTTGACTGACGGGTGAATGGTGCCGACGGGCGGGATGGCCAGTTACGCGCGGACGAGGAATGTGGCCACTATGCGATTAGGCGCCAGCAGCGGCGAGATGTGCGGCGCTGTAGCGATCACAGTGAAACCACGTAATCCCTCACTACTGGCGCCCTACACTTGCGCTAATCGGCAGCACCTCAGAAGCGATCTGGACTTTCACCTTAGTGTTCGACCAGGAAAGTAATACGCCACTGTAGCTGAAGGATACAGTGGTCAGAGGGATTGAGGGATTATCCTCAAGTGAGTAGGGCGGTTTTTTGGCCCAAGGCCCGAAGGGTCCGACTGGTGGATGGATGGGTGGATAGAGCGTGGGTGGGGGGCGACTGTGGGTGCGCAAATCGAGGGGCAACGACGGGATTACGGGCAGGCAGACATGCATGCGCTGCTGCGCCGTGCAGCCCAAGGTCACCAACAGCCTCCCTCGTTCCCCTCGGTTTTGTAGTGCACGCTTGCTGAACGACGGCACCGCGGGGAGACATGAACAGTGCACAATACCGAGTCGAAGCGCCAGCGACATGATTTTCTTTTCCCTCTTCGGCGTCTATGGGGGGCCTCCGCTTGCCCGAATAATCCAGTTGGTGGTGGTGAGGTAACATCCGCGCAGCGCCCTTGGCGACGCGAAAAGAGCCGCGCCGACGGCCAGAGAGCTCACCCCTCCGAGCTTACGTCGGAGGCTTGGCAAACCCCGCCTGGTCTCGAATCGGCCAAATGGTGATGGCTCGAATATGCAGCCAACGAGGTTGGGGCAAAGGCAAGGTGGTGCTGGGCTTGGGGGTAACGAACCTGTCCAGCCTCGTTAAAATACGGAATGTGTGGTGTAGCGATTGGAGACACGGCAATACAAACTAGCAATATCAGTATACCAATCATTGTAGAACATGGGAGGGGAGCATACAAATCATAAGCAGGCAATGTAAACACATGCGCTAATGAACCATGCATCAAATCACTGATAGTAACTAGAGATGGTTGATGGTGGGCAGTGAAATAACAGAGATTATTGATGGTGAGCAACAGGAGCATCCCTTCCCCCCCTTCTTTAGTGGTCCCATAACATTCTCAGAAATAGAATACAACGGAATGATGAGATTATGAATGTGGGTGATACAAATAGCAAACCCTAACTGAGTTGTACTCACTAAGGAGCACCTCACAACAGCCTATAACAAATATCAACATTTGACACACCCCCATAGGCTAAGTGAGGGGCATCAAAGCAAGCAGGGTGAACAAACGGTCATAAGACCAGTTAATGCAAGAAGCAAAGCAAGCTCAGGGTGGATCTCAAGGACACCACACAAATTCCGAGCACAAGCAAGCGGCCACAAGGCCAGTTCAAGAGTTCACTATGATATATAATAGCAAAGCACAACAAGCAGAGCAAGCAACAAGGCTACAGCAACCGAGGACCTGCCTCAACAAGCCCTAACTGCACACAGAACCGGTGGTGATCACCAGGCGCCAAGACCTTGGTGAAGAGGTCAGCAGTGTTGGCCCTCTGAGGCCACAAAGTCCAGGCGCACCTGGCCGCGTCGCTGTAGCTCACGCAGGAGGAAGTACCGGACGTCGATATGCTTCACCCTGGTCTCCAGTCGAGGCTCGCGACACAAGAGAATCATGGCCTTGTTGTCAGCGAACAAGGTCGGAGCAGTGCGAGGTCGCTCACCAAGGTCAGCGAGCAAGAAGGTCAATCAACGAAGCTCCTGAGCAGCCATAGCACCGGCGTAGATCTCTGCCTATGCACTGGACGAAGCCACCGACGACGACCGTGTGGACCTCCACGACACAGCCCCAGCTCCCAGACTGAAACAGTAACCCTGGGTCGAGCGCTGAGTCTCTACGTCGTCAGCATAAGAAGAGTCACAGAGGCCAGTCAACTCAACTGGCCGAGTCCCTCCAAGGACAAGCCCCATGCCTGATGTAGTCGCCAGGTACTTCGCCACCCTCACGGCAGCCGTCCAGTGAACAGGACGGTGCCTCCCAGGTCCAACAAAGCGAGAGAGGACACTAAGAGGGTAGGCGAGGTCCGGGCGAGTACAGGTCATCAGGTACATGAGGCAGCCAACAAGCTCTGGGTAGGGACCACTGGGCTCAAAGGGCTCGTCGGGGAAGGGGTCGGTGAGTCTGTGGTTTACCGCAAGAGGAGTGGGCCGTGTGGTGGAGTGCTGAAGCCCGAACCGCTGAAGGACCTGTTGCACCATGTGTGACTGCGTCAACGTGATGGTGCGGGCTGCTCTGTCCCTGGTGATCTGCAGGCCAAGGTAGCGCTGCATTTCACCAAGGTCAGTGCACGTGTGTCTCTTCTGCAGTTCGGACTTCACCTCAGCCAGAGCTGCCCTGTCTGGTGTAGCAAAGACCAAGTCGCTTACGTAGACGAGTATAAAGAAAGGAGTGGAGCCGGCACGAACAAACAGTGACGGGTCAGCAGAGGAAGGGCGAAACCCTAGGTCACGAAGCGTGGAGCGAAGAGTGTCGTGCCACTCACGGGGCGGCTGGCGGAGACCGTAGACTGGTCGCCTCAGGCTCCACTGGGTCCCAGGAGGGAAAGTACCAGTGAAATCAGGAGGACGGCGCAGCCAGATCTCCTCGTGCAGTCGTCCCTGGAGAAAGGCAGTGGAGAAGTCGAAGGAGTGGAGCTCGTAGTCACGCTGTGCTGCTACGTGTAGTAACACCCGAAGTGTAGTCATCTTCGGGGTCGGAGCGTAGGTCTGAAAGAAGTCAACTCCCTCGCGCTGACTGAAGCCTCTCGCCACATAGCGCGCCTTGAACATCGGGGGTCATCCAGGCGGCTGCTTCACCTTGAAGAGCCACATGCCATCGACTACGTTCGCCCGGGGAGGGGGAACTGCGTCGACGTACGTGCCTGTGGATCTCCAAGACGCCAACTCTGAGTCCATGGCCGTCTTCCACTGAGAGGCCCACGGCCCTGACACTGCCTCACGGTATGTGCGAGGAGTCGGTTTGTCAAGGGCGTCGGGGTCTCCTTCAGGGGAAAGCAGCATGGCACAGAGAGTGGGAGAAGCGGCTGCCAGGTACTCCAGCTCAGAGTGCCTGTCCTCTAGGACGTCACAGCCAAGGGCAAACTCACCCCCGACGGACAGAGGACGGGTAGGCGGAGCGGGCACCACACGAGTGCTGTAGTCAAGGTGGCTAGCGGCGGCGAAGTCAGCGACATCGGCAGTGAGAGCCGAGACAGACGACGGAGAGAAATGAGGGTCGGTGACACCAGTGGCTAGAACGGGGGAGACAACAGGGCGAACGGCACGGTAGTAGTCGGAGATAGGAGTAGGGGAGACAGGAAGAGAAGACGGAGGAGGAGACGGGAGAACTGACACCGGAGGAGGAGAACGACGAAGAGAGGTACAAAGGAGGGCAGTGTGGAGGTCGGTAATGGGGGACAAGGGACGAGCACTCGGAAGACAAGGACGGGAACGGTAGTGACGGACAACAGGAGGAGGAGGCTGCGACCAGACTGCCGGACGGGCGTCAGGAGGAGAAAACGTAGGACCAAACGCAGGAGGAGACGGAGAGCGGACAGGAGGAGAGGAGGGAAAACCAAGGGCCCGGAGGCCACTCACGGGCGGGAACAAATGCCGCTCCAGAGGGAGCTGCTGCTGCGGCTGCGGCTGCTGCTGCCGCCGCCGCTGCTGCTCCAGCAGGTCCAACTGCTGCAACTCCTGCCGCTCCCGCTCCAACCGCTCCTGCTCCTCGCGCGCACGTCGGCAAGCCGCCTGGTAACGCGTGTCATGGCGGTGGGGAGGCGGAGTGCTCTCCGCAGACGTAGTGCCCCCAGCTCTAGTCCCCTCAGAACTAGCACCCCCAGTACAAGTGTCCCCTGAAGGGGTACCAACAGGGTCAGGGTCCCCAGCTCCAGTGCCCCCTGTCCTAGCACCCCTAGTGCCAGGACCTCCAACTTCAGCACCCCCAGAACTAGCACCTCCCGTGCCAGCACCTCCAGCTTCAGCACCCCAAGAACTAGCACCTCCAGTGCCAGCACCTCCAGCTCTAGCACCCCCAGAACTAGCACCTCCAGTGTCAGGACCTCCAGCTCCAGCACCCCCAAGGCTAGCGCCACCTGCGCCAGCACCTCCAACTCCAGCACCCCTCGATTGAGCACCCCCAGACCGAGTACCGCCAGTGGCTGCACCTCCAGCTCCAACACCAACCGAGTCCACAATAACCTGTCGTGGAAGTACCGAAGGCTGCTGAGGGGACTGTGAGGAGGACTGCGGGGAGGGAGATGCTACCTGACGCGCGACCGAGGGTAGAGGGGTAGCGTGAGACACACCTGACGGGGCAGGACCAGGGGGGGGTGGGGGTACCAGAGGAGCGGGAGCAGGGGGAAGAGAGGGTGCGAGGAAAAGGGGGGGAGGGGGAACCGGGAGACCTCGACAGGGGTACCGGGTGTAGTAGGACACTGACTCGTCGAACCGGACGTCACGGGAGTCTAGGAACTGGTGGAGGGGCGGGTGGTAAAAGGAAACCAGTCGGCCGAGGCTACCGGGAAACCAAGGAAGACACAGGGGACGGCGCGAGCCGAGAGCTTGTCCGCAGAGGTGTCGCGGACAAGCGCAAGGCAGCCCCAGACACGAAAAGCTGACCCAACACCAGGGGACCCGGTCCAAAGACTGGGCGAAGCCTCCGGCCGCGAGACGCGCGGCTGGAGGTTCAGCTGGTGAGCGGCGTAGCGAACCGCGTAGGGCCACAGAAAATGGGGCACACGGGCATGAATCATGGACGTGCGGGCGATGTCCATGACCAAGCCAATGCGGCGCTCAGCAACCCCATTCTGCTGTGGGGACTTCGGCAGCGTCCATGACTGTACGATGCCCTGCTCGCCGCAGAATCCGGCAAGAATGCCTAAGCGAAACTCACCCCCACGGTCAGAGTGGAGACAGGAGACACGACGGCCACGAGTGCCCTCAGTGGCTAGAAGCCACCGGATCAGCGTAGAAGTCACCTCGGACTTCTTCGCGAGAGGAAACACCGTGGTGTACCTGGAGAAGTCGTCGATGACCACCAGAAAGTAGCGCTCCCTCTCAGGTCCCTGCGTAGGTGCAGGGCCCCAGACATCCAAGTGGAGTGTCTGGAAGGGAGCAGTGGCCGGACGAAGGGAGGAGGAGTGCGGAGTGGCACGAAGACGGCCGGCGACGCAAGGAGTGCACGGCGACGCAGGCGAGGGAGGGAGCGACGGGAAGACGCGAGGGAGACCTGAGACAAGACGGTGATTAGCCATAGTGCAGAGGCGGGGGATCGACGCGTGGCCAATACGGTGGTGCCACAAGACGGTCCGGTGGGTGAAAGACCGACACGAGCAAGGCGCAGCAACTAGACCGGACACAGCAACCTGACCGGACACAGCACCGGACACAGCAACCTGACCAGACACAGCAACCGGTGGGGACGCAGTAACCTGACCAAACTCTGCTACCGGGGGGGACGAAGCAACCTGACCAGACGCAGCTACCTGCGGGGGCGGAGTGTGCAGGACGAAGAGACTTGAGTGGGGCTCTCTGGTGAACGTGGCAAGAACTGCCCCGGTGGAAGAGTCCGTACAGATCGCAGTCCTCCCGTGCGCAGGAAAAGTGACTGTGATCCCCCGGTCCTGAAGGTATCCAACACCCACCAAGTTCCGAGAGAACGAGGGGACGTAGAGACCAATGAGGAAACCAGAGGGGACAGCTGAGCACGGGAGAGTGGTCGAGCTACGAGCAACTGCTGGTCCGGAAGTAGGATCAGCCAGGGCAACTGGGACTGGAGCCGAAAGAGGTGTGACAGTGGTGTGGTCGCGGAAGAAGCACTGAGACGCGCCGGAGTCCAGCGTCAAGGAGAGCAACACAACAGTAGCGTCATGGCTGGGCTAGTCACTACACAAGCACCTACACTAAAAGCACAAGTACCGAAACTAGCAACAGGCAAATGTCCTAAGCTAGGTACACGTAAGCCAAGAGATCCGTACGTGACAGAATAAACAGCATCCATAGACATATCAAACACAGGGTAACCACTACGAAACAGACCGGGCCATATCGGGGGAGCCGACCCAGGCCTAAAACGCTCACGGTAGAGGTCGTCGCGGCGACTATAGCAGCGCTGTGCAGAGTGGTCAGGACGCCAGCAGGTAGTGCCAGCACCAGGGCCGGTCAGGATCCGGTACTGGCAGGGGCCGACGTCGCGGCCACCGCGACGAGCCCCCAAGCTGGCTGGGCCGCTGCTGCAGCCAACGCTACCCGAACCACCAGGCCCCCACGGCTGCTGAGAAAGCCACAGCTGCTGAGGGCGGAGCTGCTGCTGAGGGCGCCACAGCTGCTGCGGGTGCCACTGCTGAAACTGCCGCTGCTGCTGTCCCTGCTGCTGGAGAACCCTAGTGGACGCCATGATAAAGGCTAGGAGCGTCAGGAGCTAGGGACGGCTGCAGTGAAACAACGAGAACAACTTGGAGCGCCAGGTGAAACTAGGCGAGGAACGGCTGGAGCACGGAACAATCTGAGCTAGGAGCGAGGAGCGAAGAGGACTGGAGCTAGAACGGCTGGAGCTAGACGCGGCTGGAGCTAGGAGTGGCTGCAGCTAGAACGGCTGGAGCTAGAGACTGTAAGTGCGGCTGTCGGCTGCCGCTAGTAGAGCCACTGTCAGTGAAAAGTACGTGCGACCGTATGGGCTGCAGTCTGACGGCTGCGGTATGTAGGGAACTGTGCAGGTCGTTCGGCAAGCAGGAACGCGGGCGACAGTTGCATCCCAACACCCTGAACCCCTCTTTTTTTTTTTTCTTTTTTAAAGGGTTTACTTAACTAATTTATTTTTCTGGCGCTAAAGCGCTGCGGGGCGCGCTGCCTGCAGGGTGTGCTGCTTGCGGGGCGCGCTACCCGCAGGGCGCGCTGCCTGCGGGGCGCGCTACCCGCGGGGCGCGCTACCCGCGCGGCGCGCTGCCTGCGGGGCGCGCTACCTGCAGGGCGCGCTACCTGCGGGGCACGATACCTGCGGGGGCGCGCAGCCTAGGGGCAGGGCGACGCGCGAGCTAGGGGCAGCGCGCACAGGCGCGCACGGGCTAGGGGCAATGCGCGCGAACGACGTGACGGGCTGGGGCAGGGCGCATGGGCGACGTGACGGGCTGGGGCAGGGCACACGGGCTACGCGACGGGCTAGGGCAGGGCGCATGGGCGACGCGACGGGCTGGGGCAGGGGCCACGGGCCACGCGACGGGCTGGGGCAGGGCGCACGGGCTACGCGACGGGCTAGGGCAGGGCGCACGGGCTACGCGACGGGCTAGGGTAGGACGCACGGGCTACGCGACGGGCTGGGGCAGAGGCGCGATACGGAGGGCGTGGAGGGCGCGTAGGGGAGGGCTGGGCTAGGCGCGGAGGCGCAGAGGGCGCGTTACGGAGGGCTCAGAGGGCGCGTTAGGGAGGGCGCGGAGGGCACTAGGGCGCGTGACGGAGGGCGCGTAAGGCGCGGAGGGCGCTAGGGCGCGGAGGCGCGCTAGGGCGCGGAGGGCTCGAGGGCGCGAGCTGGGCTAGGCTAGGCAAGGATTCTAAACCTACTCGTGATACCATCTCAGAAATAGAATGCTACGGAATGATGAGATTAGGAATGTGGGTGATGCAAATAGCAAACCCTACCTGAGTTGTACTCACTAAGGAGAACCTCACAACAGCCTATCACAAATATCAACATTTGACAAACATGATCAAGGAGTGTATTTGGTGCATCATGTGAGCACCATGACTGCAAATTCCGTTTTGAAGGCTGGCAGAGTATATGACATGATCACGATCTGGGGAGAGGGAGAAGGATGGTTTTGATATTTCTTGTGTTCGGGTAGGCTATAGTATAGAAAACAATACAGCACATTTGTTTGTTCACACCGAGGCCATGCTACGTGCTGGTGGGAGCAGCAGTGAAGGCGGCAGTGAGGATGGCGTGGTCGGAGATGGAGTAGTCATCGGGCCACACGCCGTGCGCCATGGGGTCGGGCAGCAGCTGCGCCCCACACACCACTAGGTCCGGCGACAATGATGACTCGCCCTGCACTGTGGACGCTAGGGCGGCTGGTGAGGCGGCGGAGGCGGAGGGGGGGGGGTTGGAGGGCCAGGCCAACTCGACGATGCCTGTGGCTTGCTTGATGCGCGCGTACGTCTCCTCCATGGACGGCGCCAGCAGCAGCGTCTGCACCACCGGGGAAGAGGAGAAGGAGAAAGCACAGGATGAATCATGGAAGCTGAAATGCTGGGGAAAATGGGGAAAAACGGAATATGGAGACTGGGAGTGCAGAGGCGTGACGGATTGTCCGACAATACAGCAGACGCATTGGCAGAGTGGGGGGAGTGCGTGGGTGTGCGGCAGTGGTGGGGCCCAGGCGAGCAGAGCGCACCTTGAATTCATCGTAGTCAATGACGCCGTTGCCATCCGTGTCCACGCACTGCACCAGCTCCTCTATCTCCGCCCGCGTCAGCCCCACCGTGCCCTCGCCCGTCAGCCCCAGCTGCACCCACACACGCTCGCAGGGACGAGGGCAGGACACAAGGGAGATGATTCGAGAGGGAGAGGTGGATGCGAGCCAGTACACGGGAGAAGAAGGGGCGTGGGGCGTGGAGTGCGAGGGGCAGTGCTTGGCGCACCTGGTCCATGGCGTAGTTGAACTGCTCCACTGTCACGTGCTCCGCCACCTCGCCCTGCGCCTCCGCACCCGCCTCGCTCTCACTGCGGAAGAAGTCAAACGCCTGCCGCTCCTCCTCCATGCCCGCCTCGCCCAGCTTCGCCTGCTCACGCCCCACGCCGCAGTGCCGCACAGGGGGGGAGACGGGGAGCACGCACCAAACATTGCTCACGCAGGGCATGCACGAGGTGTGCAGGACGAGGGGGGTACCGTGTGAGCTGGGTGTGGTGGGCGTGGAGATAGGTGGTGTGCACACGGCCGTGTGGTTGCTCTGGGACATGCGCCTTCACACCGGCTCAACGGCATTGATGTTTTTGCACGAGCTGCAGTGACCCCCCCACATGCAGCAGCCCCATGGGGTCCCCTGGGCGCACACGCACCTTGATCATCTGGAAGATGGCGGCCTTCCAGTCGGCGGTGAGAGGCTGGTCCTGCGCGCTGGGGTTGAGCAGCCAGATGTAGTCCACGCCCACCAGCACCCCGTGGTGGTTGCGGTGCGACACCCACTGCCCACGTGCCGTGCCATGGCCACACACCAACCATGCACCACACATGCATCATACACCCACCCATCCCACATGGATTACACGCCCTCACAAATTGATTATACACAACACAAACGGATTGGGTAGAGCAGCAGGGGAGGAAAGGCTGATGAGTAATAAGCGGTGAAGGGAGCAGGAGCAGATGTGGGTGTGAAAGCGGAGAGCATGCGGACAGAACCCAGGGTGAAGAGGGCAGCGGGGTGAGAGGGGAGAAGCAGGTACGGAGGTGGGTGTGTGCGGGGGTGGGGGGTGGGTGGCAGCAGTGCGCTCACACGAGTGTCATGGTCGGGGTGCTGCATGGCGGTGTCATAGCACGACACAAAGCCCTGTGACCGCAGGAAGCGGTACACGCGCCCCGCCTTGGTGCCGTTCAGATCGCTGTGCGGCATGGGTAATCGGGGGGGTTCGAAGGGGTGGGCGAGTGAGTGTGGGTGTGGGTGTGGGTGTGGTTTCGGTTCTGGGTGCGAGTGTGGGTGTGAGTTGTTGTGGGGTGTTGAGAGTGAGTGTGACGTGATTGCAAGTGTGAGTGCGGGTGTGAGTGGGAAAGAGCAATAATGAAGCCATGCAATCCCCGAAGATGAATATGCTGGCAGAACTGGCGAGGGGTGAGGTGGGGGGGTGGGGAGTAGAGAGCAGAGGGCGCCATGCCCATGGGCAGCACAGGGCACAGCGTGCACTGACCCGCAGAGCACGATGGGCAGTGCGGGCAGGTGGTGGCGCTGGCGGTACTGCTCCAGGTACTCCAGCACCTTGTACACCTGGGGGTGGGGGTGATGAGCGGACGAGGGGGAGCGAGGGGGATGGCGTGCGGGATGGATGGGCTGGTGTACTGCAGGGCGGGCCAGGAGACACCTCGCTGTGGAGATGAGTGCTGACAAATGCGTCTTTAGTGTCTAGCAGCAATTGGAGCGATGCCACCCAAGTACCACAGCTGTCGCAGCTGGGGCAGCTTGCGGGCGGAGAGCGCACCTCGCGGAGGCGGATGAGGCTGGAGTTGGCGTTGTGCGGGAAGAGCAAGGTGCGTGTTCACCACCAGCATCTCGCCGCCCCCGGGCACGCGCAGGCGCAGCAGCTGTGCGACGCGGTCCCCGCAGTCGTTGAAGAGGATGGGCTCGTAGTCCGCCACGCTCACGCCCTCCCCGCCGCGCACCGCCGTCACCAGCCCTGCGCGGGGGCAAAGCGGGGTTACGAGAGAGTGGGGGGCGCGTCAATGCAGCTTGCTGGGGGGTGTTGTGAGCTTGCAGTGCAAACACGCGCCAGTGGCAGCAGCAACAGCAGCAGCAGCAGCAGCGGCGGCGGCGGCGGCGGCTCACCGTCGCCCCTGGCGTTGGTGCGCGGCAGCTTGTAGAGCTGGTAGCCGTGCGCCTCGAGCGCGTCGTGGTACATGCGCTCCAGGTCCGCGTTGAACCAGAACTCCTGCGCGCACACGCGGAGGAGGGGGAAAGGAAACGAGGGCGGGGGGTGGAGGAGGGGGCGGGGGGAGGAGGGGAAGGCAGGATAACTGTTACGGGGGGAAGCAGGTGCATGTGCAGCAGCATGGTGCACCGAGGACTGGAGCCGCTATCTCATGCTCTTCACTGCTGCCCCTCCCGCCCCCCCTTCGTCCCTCCCCCTTGTGGCGTTACACTCCCCCAGCTTCCGCCCCCCTGCAGTCCTTTCACACCGTCCCCCAAGCAATCTCCTTCTCCCTTCCTTCCCCATGCCTTTCCCCCCACCGCGCGCGCGTACCTGCAGGCACACGACGGTGCTTTCGGTTGCGCGCACAGCGGCGAGGATGCGCTCGTTGCGCGTCATCCACTCCTCGGGGAACGCGCTCTCGCGCACCGCCTGACGGCCGTCGGGATGGGCGGGAGGGAGAGGGGAAGGGGGCACGGCAGAGGGGGATAGGCACGCCGTCGGCAGCGGCGTGAAACAATCAAGAATGAGCCACGGCGGAGCGGCAATGGCGGCATCCCCTCTCGACTGATCTTCCCCATCCACGAAATCCCAGCCGCCCCACGCACCTCGCCCGCCAGTCGTTTATAGATGGGCGCCAGGATGTTGAACGTCGAGATCGATATCGCCACGTCCCCCGCAGATTGCGCGCTCGACGTAGCAGCATCGGCTGCCGCACTCGCGGCGGTGGGCCGCGCGGCAGACCCTCGTGTGGCGCGCGCGGCACGGCGGTGGGCGCGGAGAGGGATAGGCACGCCGCGCGGACCAGCTAATTGCACGAGGCCGAAGCGGGATGGCGCTCCACGGGCTGGTCTCCCGATGCGCGAGTGCCGCGCGGTGTACGTGCACGATTGCACCCTCGCTGCCGCAATGTCCGCTTGCGTGGACGGCTGCGGTGGCTGCATCCATCGCGCTTGTTGCCACGTGGAAAAGGTGAGTGAATTGGTGGCCATGGTTTCCGACGCGACGGGATGGAGGGACGAGGCGAACGGCAAGCGCACAAACCGCACGAGCGATGTGGGTGTTTGGCTAAGGCGGAAGCCTCGGCCTTTGCTCCGACTACCGCTGCCAACGTGCGGCTGAAGCGAAAGCACACTTGCCGTTTCCTGCCCAGGCTTCTCCCCTCACTGTCACTCGAAACAAAACAAATCAACACACGGTCAAAATCGAGCTACCCTCCAGATTTGGCTGTAACAGAAATACTAGGGGATCCGTTCTTTTGAGGATCTGTTCTCTCACTCGTAAGATCACCTTGTGGATTCCAGGGACTGGTTTTTGAGCCTGTGCAGCTGGAATAAGTGTTGGCCTGGTTCACCTGTGGAGCTCGAAGTGCGTTTTGGAAACGACCCTCGCGGGTCCTGGATTTATGTGTCATCTGTGCTGAACAAACCAGTGGTGACATCTGGTCCCCAAGCAGCCATTCACACACCAAATCTCGAGGCGCTCACACACCCGCGATCGGTGAAAGAGCCATCCATGTGTTGCTTGGCGCAGAGCGCAGTGTCGGTTCAACCAATGACTGCTAGAATGTATCTGTGGCTTGGGAGTGCACCGCAAATCATAAGAACCACGCGAAATTGACCGCACTGCCTCGCCAGCCTACCACGTCAGCAGCATTAGATGTTCAGCAGTACACGTGTACACAGGTTTGATGAGAGAGTAACTCCATCTGTAGATGCTGTTACAGTAGTAAAGAGGTTGTGCAAAGGAACTAAGTCACTTACAAGTTCATGTTTGCAGTCTAATCTCATCATGCTCTAGTCTCACTAGCCTCATAGAGAGGATGTGATATAGGAATGTGGACAGTCAACCTTCTCAACAATTGACCGTGACGACGGTGCACTTAAAGGACACATCCAGAATTACCGTGTCGGCCCCAAAACTGTCACCACTTTCGTGTGATTGGTCGAGGGTTTTGAGTGGGTTTTTGACGCGATTGGTTCTCGATTTCCCCACCGAACCTGTCTCTGGGGTTTCCCGAACCTACATTTTTTTCGTTGACTTCGTTGTGTAATTCGGGGTGTGGCCTTTAAAGGACACATCCAGAATTACCGTGTCGGCCCCAAAACTGTCACCACTTTCGTGTGATTGGTCGAGGGTTTTGAGTGGGTTTTTGTCGAGATTGGTTCTAGATTTCCCCACCGAACCTGTCTCTGGGGTTTCCCGAACCTACAATTTTTTCGTTGACTTCGTTGTGTAATTCGGGGTTTGGCCTTTAAAGCGACGGTGCACATTTGCCACCCAAAACCCCAAACCCTGGCGAACTGTTACTGAGGAGGAAAAGTGTCCGCACGAAATCCAGGTTTTCGCTAGTCAACACTTTCGCGCTGGCAAGCCTGGTTCAAAACAAAAACTTCTGAACCCCCGCTTGTCAAATCTAGACCCTCGTTTTAAAACCCGCGTCTCATATTTCCTAGTGTATTACACTTGGTTGGGCTAAAGCGACTGTGATTGGGTAACGATAGGCGAGATTTGTGACGAGCAGTTTGGAAAACACAGACGAAACCTCAGTTCGTCTACGCAAAAGCCAAACGAGCCCCTCAGGTATGGACAGCTACCACACCTAGAAAACACCTCCGGCAGTATCGCACTTCCATGCGACCATTTGAAACGACAAGACAATCCCCCCTTCACCAGGAAAAGCAGAGCAAAACTCTCAGCTGTCATTCTTATTACCTCCGCTTAGAATGGTTCCTAGGTATGTACCTCCGCGAGCAAGATGCTGACCCATACACAGAAACAGGGATATAGCAGTCTATTAGCTCGCCTTTCGGACCAGATAACAAGTGACTTGCGAACAAGTTTGGTTGCGGATAACGCACTAATTGGCGAGTAAGGAATCGTCCAATGTCGGGAACCGTCGCCACGCGGTCGAGTGTTACGAGGTAGGCAGTTCGTAACATCCCGAAATGCGTTGTTACTTTTCTGTATACAGCTGCGGAACCCGGAGAGGTGATGTCGCATATCAGAATGCGCACGGGTCTACGCCAAGCGCGATTACGTGAAAGGTTCTGCCGTCCTGGGTCTGTGTGCGAGTGGCATGTGTGTGGGGTGCGTGCGCGTGCGTGCGGGCACGTGCGTGCGTGCGTGCGTGCGTGCGTGCGTACGTGCGCGTGTGCGTGCGTGCGTGCGTGCGCGGTCGCGTATGCGTGCGCGTACGCGTGCGTGCGTGCGTGCGTGCGCGTACGCGTGAGTGCGTGCGTGCGTGCGTGCGCGTGCGTGCGTGCGTGCGGGTGTGCACGTGTATGTATTCACATGTCATTATTCCACATCCTGGTGCCATCTTCAAGACTCGAGACACAACACAAATCTTTTTACTCAGACACCTGACACCTGTTTTTCCCCTCCCCTTCCGTCTCTCCCCTCCCCTTCTCTCCCCTTCCCTCTCTCCCCTTCCCTCTCTCTCTCTCCCCTCCCTCTCTCCCCTTCCCCCTCTCCTCCTCCCGCCCGGAGCTGTTTCTCAGGTCGGCCCATCCACTGCATCAGCAGCTCGCTCCTATCCCACCCCTCCACCAACCCATTCCCCTCCCCTGCTGCCGCACACGCTGACCTCAGCTCGGATGCTCATACTTTTCCCACTTCTCCCACACCTCCTCTCCTCGGACTCCCACCCTCCAGCACCTGCCAGCCCTCTTTCGCCCCCTTCTCATTCGGTCTGGAAACATTCCAAGAACCTTCTCCATGTTCCTTGTGCTGTGATTGCTCCCCCCTCCCCCTCCCCCTCCTCTCCCTGTTAACTCACCCTCCCCCCCTTCCCCACCCACTTTCCTCACGCCCGCAGCAAGGCTTGCTTGCCAGCCAGCCCTCGCCATGCGCTGACCCTGCTAGCTGTCCTGCCCGAAGCTGAGGTGTATGTAAGCAGGGGAAGGGGAGGAGGGTGTGGGTGTGGGCTATGGCGACTGCCAGAATCAGAGAGAGGGGTGGGGGTGTGGGAGGGGGAGGTGTGGAGGTTGAGTGCTGTGGTGGCGGCCATGAGTGTGGAGCGCCCTTTCCTTCTCCATCTTCCCTCTTTTCTTCTCATGTCCCTTACTATGCTGTCGCTTCCTTCACATCTCAACTGCCTATTTTCTCATCCTTGGAGCCTTCCTTCCTCCCGTCACCCCTCCCTTTGTTCCAGTTACAAGCAGGACTCAGCTAGTCCCAGGCGAGCCTGGCGGAACGGAAGAGACAGGCAAGCAGCAGATGCACAGCCAGATGCACGAAGGCGAGACCGGTGCTAGAGGAAAGTTGTACCCCGTATCTTCAAGATATTACACTAGTGTATACATTCAATAAGTTCTTTACGTCAGTGCTCTGCTCAATTGCTACTTCAAGAATGGTTGCTGTGAAGCAATCTAAGTATCAAGTATCAAGAGTAGCATGCTATGAAAGACAAGAGACTAGGAGAGTTTGGCAAGCCTACTTTGCCAACAACTGAGTTTTAACTCTACGCATTAGTCACAAAACTAAGGATGAACTGGTTCTTTGTGGCGCCATGCTGGAACAAGCACACATCAACAGGGGGGAGAAAGGGGGGAAGCGGAGGGGAGACAAGTGGGAAAACAGAGGTGAGGCTTGGGAGGAAAGTGAGGTTAGGCATGGGAGGAAAGCGAGGTTAGCATGGGAGGAAAGCGAGGTTAGCATGGGAGGAAAGCAAGGTTAGGCATGGGAGGACAGCGAGGTTAGCATGGGAGGAAAGCGAGGTTAGCATGGGAGGAAAGCAAGGTTAGGCATGGGAGGAAAGCGAGGTTAGGCATGGGAGGACAGCGAGGTTAGCATGGGAGGAAAGCGAGGTTAGCATGGGAGGAAAGCGAGGTTAGGCATGGGAGGACAGCGAGGTTAGCATGGGAGGAAAGCGAGGTTAGGCATGGGAGGAAGGGAGGAAGTGATTGTTTGGCGGAATAGTTTGTGAAAGGTGGGGCAATAATGTGGAGGGGTTGGCGAAGTGTTGGCTGGATGGGAGGAGCTGGTAGCACGGGATGAGAGGTGACAGCAGAGGGGGAAGGGAGGTGACAGCAGAGGGGGAAGGGAGGTGACAACAGAGGGGGAAGGGAGGTGACAGCAGAGGGGGAAGCAAAGGGGGATGAGGAAAGGGAAGGGGGATGGGGGAAGGGAATGGGGATGGGGTAAGGGAAGGAGGATGGGTAAAAGGAAAGGAGGATGTGGGGAAGCGATGGGGGGTGAGGAAAGCGAAAGGGGAAGACATGGGAGGGGAAAGGGGGATACGGGGAAGGGATGGGGGATGGGGAAAGGGAAAGGGGGAAGGGAAGGGGAAGGGAAATGGGAGTGCGCGTCAGGGAAGGGGGATGGGGTAAGGGAAGGAGGATGGGGAAAGGGAAAGGGGGACGAGGGAAGGAAAAGGGGGGTGCGGGAAGGGAAAGGGGATGGGGGAAGAGAATTGGGGGATGGGGGAAGGGAAAGGGGATGGGGAAAGAGAATTGGGGTGGGGGAAGGGAGGGAAAGGGGGATGCGGGAAGGAAAGGGGGATGGGGTAAGGGAAGGAAGATGGGGAAAGGGAAAGGAGGATGCGGGGAAGGGTTGGGGGATGGGGAAAGCGAAAGGTGGAGACATGGGAAGGGAAAGGGGGATGCGGGGAAGGGAAGGGGGATGGGGGAAAGGAAAAGGGGGTGTGGGAAGGGAATTGGAGATGTGGGAAGGGAAAGGAGGGTTCGGGGAAGGGAATGGGAGATGGGGGAAAGAGCAAGGGGGATGCTGGGAAGGGGGGCGGGGGAAAGGGAAAGGGGGATGCTGGGAAGGGGGATGGGGGAAAGGGAAAGGGGGATGAGGGGATGAGGGGAAGGGAAAGGGGGGTGCTGGGAAGGGACGGGGGATGGGGGAAAGGGAAAGGAGGATGCTGGGAAGGGGGATGGGGGAAAGGGAAAGGGGGATGCTGGGAATGGGGATGGGGGAAAGGGAAAGGGGGATGCTGGGAAGGGGGATGGGGGAAAAGGAAAGGGGGATGAAGGGATGAGGGGAAGGGAAAGAGGGGTGCTGAGAAGGGACGGGGGATGGTGGAAAGGGAAAGGGGGATGCTGTGAAGGGAAGGGGGATGGGGAAAGGGAAAGGGGGATGCTGGGAAGGGGCGGGGGATGGAGGAAAGAGAAAGGGGGATGAGGGGAAGGGAATGGGAGATGGGGGTAAGGAAAAGGGGATGTGGCAGATGTGCGCCTGCTTCACCTGCCGCACCATTGAGACTGAACCCCTTCACACTCACTGGGTGTGCCCTCCCATCCCCTCTGCTCTCGACGCCCCTCCTCTCGTCCCCTCCCGTTCCGACCCCTCCTCTCTCGTCGCGTCCCCACCTCTCTCGTCGCGTCCCCTCCTCTCTCGTCTCGTCCCCTCCTCTCTCATCGCGTCCCCTCCTCTCTCGTCGCGTCCCCTTCTCTCTCGTCGCGGCCTCTCCCATTCGCCGGTCTCGGCGCGACTCTTCCCGTCCGCGACGGCGAAGGCGACGGCGATGGCGCTCGACTTGCTGCCTTCCTCTCTGCTTCCGCCGATGCCTCTCCCTCTCCGCTTCCGCCGATACATCTCCCTCTCAGATGTCCCGATGTCGCTCCGCTACCGCTTCCGCTCTCATTGTGCTCGCCGAACCTCCCATCCATTCCATAGCCACTACCTTCCTCCCCGTCTCCCGTCCCTCCCTTCCAATCCCAGCGCGTCCCTTTCCGTCCGGTCACGTCTTCCCATATTCTTCCTTTCGTCGTTTATCGTCCCGTTTTGTGCGCTCGGATCTGCTATTGCTATGCTCTCCATCCATATTCTACTATTGTGCCGCTTTCTTCTCGTGCTTTTCGCGCAGCAATTTGTTGTACGATCTACCCAGTCAATCGCCCGTCCGTACGAACGCAGATCTGCCTAAAATGATACCCCATACGACTGAAGGTGGAACGTAAGAGGCATTGCATCTAAGGCCTGCATAAGAAAAGCCATGAACAAAATATAGCCTAACCTAAGTCGCTGAAAAAAGACTAGGCCTGGACTAGGTAGTGGTTGTGTAGGTCACTTTCCTCTCCAGGTGCAATTGGAATGATCTGGAGTCTCATATTTTTCAGCTGTGGTAATACGCTTGCTTCTCTGTGTTTGCCTTCGTCGCACAAGGTGGTGTGTTTTCGCGCAAATACGTTGGTTAGTCGTGCATCTGCCTTGCCCAACCTGATGGGGCTGCAACCAATCACAGGGGCTCCCAACCAAACCCAACACAGTTGCGACTTATTTTGTGGTTACCCAATTTCGACCATATTACTCTTGGTTGGAAGGAAGAAATATGATTGTATGATTGCAACAACTACCACTGCCAGATGCCACCGTTTGCATCGATATGATTGTAATACGGTACGTAATGTCTGATTGTTTGCGCCTATAACAGTAACGTCCTGATCAAGTTGCTCCTCATGCTTAACAGAAAATACGTTGTTGCTGCCGGATGTGCACATGTGTGGCTGTCACCAGACGTCGGGACCAAACTTTATGTTGGCAGCGACGTTGGCGTACTACGGTTTAACATGAAGTGCCGTTGAATTTGGCTCAAAGACTTCATCAGGTACAAACGTTGGAGGTGAGCCAGAAACACAAGAATCAGTTCGTATTTTCCAAGCTTGAACAGTACGAGACTTTGACGTTGTTGGCATTGTTCGTGGCTTGGGTTTGTGCAGCAGAAGCAGTTGTGGCGGCTACCTGCGGTTGAGCGGCAGCAGTGCGTTGTAAAAAAGAACGGCAAGGTTCAGGTCAATGGTCACTGGAGTGTCCGGAAGTTGAGATCGATGACAAAAAGGAGGTACGTAGTGCTGTTGCTGCTGTCGTTGCTGCTGAATGTATTTATGTCACTGTTGCGGTCGAGGCTGTTTGGTCATGAAGGCAAACATGTAAACCTTTTTTGTTGTTTTTGCTGTCATACAGGTCCATGTCCTGCTGTTCGGCTAGCAGAGAGACGCAAAGGTGCAGAGGTGCATCTCCGACGCGCCCCTTGAGTTTGAAGAAGAGAGCGAGTCTGACACTACTAAGGACCATGTCTATGGTCCTCAGTAATTACTATGGTGACGCATGTTGTCTGGGAAGTTCCCTCCACTCCGCAGAACTGATCACAAAGTTTCCGCATCTATTGATATAGAGCAGTGCTTACTCTCCTGCTTTCATTTCGATTCACCTCGTAAGCTGCGCCATGAGTCTGCTTTGCGTGACACTTTTTGTAGCTTGATAAAGTCGTTTCAAATGTTGGCATGCGAGTTCTGCTGATTTTCCGAACTCGCCTTATAATTTGATACTCTGCTGCTGCATTAATGTCATGTTAAGAAGAAGAATTGTGTAGGCCATCATTGATTGAAAGCCAAAGCTGCGCTGTTCTTCTTGTATGTGTGCGCTGCGAATTGAGCTTCTCCTGTATTGTACTCGCAAAGTTGAGCCGCTTCCATCATGACTTCAAATTCGAAACTCCAGGCAAAGAAGTCTTCGTTGTTGAACAGCCTTGAAGTATGAAACTATAGAATGCCCAGCATACATGTGTTAAAGTCCACAGCGGAATGAAGTTCACTAGGAGGGGGGGTACAATTACAAATTCTAAAATGTGTTGTACCCCATATTGTGTGCCCCACTGAAGCCTAACATGCATATTTGCAATTTGACAATATGTTTGGTAGATTGTGGCGTCTCTGACTCCTGCAACTCCATCCTGTTGCTGCTGTTGTTGTGCAGCATTCTCACCAATGGTTACGAAGGCAAAAGAGTTCCCTGGATGTTGTCGAGGCGGAACTTGGTAAGATATAGGTTGCTGTTGAGCATACGAGGTTCCAACATCACTCATAGGTGCTGTCCCCATGTTCAGCGACGTTGATGCATGTGGTGCTGATGCAAAGTATTCAGACATAATGTTAATCACTTAGCGTTAAGGACGAGGAAGTTTCATCCAACGCCTCCTGCTCCAGTTGCTGATGTAGCTGTTGAGGCAAGGCCAAACGTAAATCCAGACAGTGGTCGATTTGAAGGATGTGTTCCCCCACCTCCACCTTCACAGTTGGTTTTGCCGTTGTCTGCCATGACTATTAGTCATTGGTGATAATCAAGATTTGCTGAGACACTAAGCTGTGGTGCACAGCGTATGAAATCTTAGACTCTTTAATTCTCATATTATGTTGGGCGGAAAAAAATCATAGGATCGTTTAGAGACTAGTCTTAAAATATGTATTGCAGTAGAAGTCTAAAATACTGTACCGGTAAACCGAGAACAAAAACCGAATAGTAACAATATAAATGTATATGGATCAAGTGATGTACCGGTTGACTAATTGAAATTTTGCTGAGGCATTACTCATAAAAGGTACATATATTGTAGTGTACTCATCAAACTAATTGCGCTCCTAACAGTTACAGAGAGATACGTGCTACAATAATGCTATCTCATAGAAATACTGTTGAATTTTATTTACCCATTTATTTAATCTCAACAGTAAGCTTGCAGATTACGATATTAAGTTCTACCTTAAGATGTACATTATGCTAGCTAACAGTGGGGATTCTGGAGAATCTCCACTCCCAAGTGTCAAGAATAGAACTAGGAATGAATGGTTGAACTAGGCAAGAGATGAGTAGAAGTAGGGGAAACCTAACCCTAAAGTGTTGTACTCACTATTGAGTGACCCTAATGTAGCCTAGAGACACAATTGTAATTTGACACACCCCCATAGGCAAAGTTGTCAGAACATATATATAGCTTATGCTGTTGTGTAGGCTATAGTGGGGTATCCCATAGGGGGTACAACCCAATTAGGGTTTCCTATATGTACTCACTTCATTCATAGTTCATTCATTCTCGTTCTACTTTTCTCATGGTATCGAGCAGGTTCCCTCGTGGGAACTGTTCCTAGGGCCCACCGTTTTTTTTTCCTGCCCGGAGCGCACTCTGCCCCTACCCGGGTCGCGCTCCCCTCTCTCTTGGCCCCTAGTGGCCCCTTTAGCCGCCCGTCACGGCCCTTAGCCGCCCGCGCGCCGCCCGTCCCGGCCCCTTAGACGCCCGCGCGCCGCCCGTCCCGGCCCCTAGACGCCAGTGCGCCGCCCGGCCCGGCCCCTAGACGCCCGCGCGCCGCCCGTCCCGGCCCCTAGACGCCCGCGCGCCGCCCGTCCCGGCCCCTAGACGCCCGCGCGCCGCCAGTCCCGGCCCCTCGACGCCCGCGCGCCGCCCGTCCCGGCCCCTCGACGCCCGTGAGCCGCCCGTCCCGGCCCCTAGACGCCCGCGCGCCGCCCGTCCCGGCCCCTAGACGCCCGCGCGCCGCCCGTCCCGGCCCCTCGACGCCCACGCGCCGCCCGTCCCGGCCCCTAGACGCCCGCGCGCCACCCGGACCGACCCCTAGACGCCCGCGCGCCGCCCGTCCCGGCCCCTCGACGCCCGCGCGCCGCCCGTCCCGTCCCCTCGACGCCCGCGCGCCGCCCGTCCCGGCCCCACGCCGCCCTACCTGCGGCCCACTCGCCGCCCTACCTGCGGGAGCCGCCTAGCAGCAGAACCGCCGGGAGCCGAGCCGCCCTGCCGCCGAGCCGCCCGGGAGCCGAGCCGCCCTGCCGCCGATTCGCCCGGGAGCCGAGCCGCCCTGCCGCCGAACCGCCCGGGAGCCGAGCCGCCCTGCCGCCGAGCCGCCCGGGCGCCGAGCTGCACTGCCGCCGAGCCGCTGAGCAGCCGAGCCGCCCTACTGCCGGGCCGCCCGACCTGCCCTGTCCGGTGAGCACAGCCCCACTGTCACTGCGTGCCCTTCCCCTACTGCTTGCACTGCTCGTCTGTCGTCGTCATGGCTACCCCTAGCGTCCTCGCTTTTGACGCTGAGGGTCGAGCCATTGACTTTGAGGTCTGGGTCGACGACCTGCAGCTGTTCTTACAGTGCGATAGGGCGGACGGTCTTTCCCTCTTTGACCTCACCTCTGGCGCCTCTCCTGCCCCTGCTACTGATGCTGACCCCACTGTTCGCTCTCAGTGGGCCACCCGCGATGCTGCTGCACGTCTTGCTGTGCGTCGCCACCTGCCTACCACTGAGCGCGCGCACTTTAGTCAGTACAAGAGTGCTCAGACCTTGTACGACGCTGTAGTTGCGCGCTACTCTTCCCCTGCCACTGCTGCCCTGAGCCGCCTCATGCTACCGTACCTCTTTCCTGACCTTGCTGCCTTTCCCACCGTCGCTGACCTCATTACGCACCTCCGCACTAGTGACACTCGCTACCGCGCCGCCCTTCCTGCTGAGTTCTGCGCCAAGAACCCCCCCCCCATGTACATCACTCTCTATTACATCGTCACACGCCTCCCTGACTCCCTTCGCGTAGTCAGGGACCACTACCTCTCGGTCTGTCCCACCACTCTCACTGTCGACCTCCTCGAGAAGTCCCTCCTGGCGGCGGAGAAGAGCATCGTCGCTGTAGGAGCCTCTCGTGGTGACCCTCGCACCCCCATCTTTGAGGGGTGTTCTCCTTCCCCCCTGCTGCCCTCTGTTGCCTCTGCTGCTGCTGCCGACCTGCTTGGTCTTGAGTCGGTCTGCGCGGCGTCTGCCCCTAGCGGG